GGACAATATCATGCAGGTGTCTGAACATACACTGTACCTATTGTGTACATCACAGTGTCGGCTAGCAAAATGTTGCTGATGTTGATTCTGGGGATCAGACCAATAAGACCGGGAATAACATCAGAGTAGTTCACGTCTATGGTCTCAGCTATGGACTGGAAGCCAAACAACAGCGCCTCAGTGTCCTGGAGATGGAAATAAACAAAGTCTGGTGTTAGAGACGACATGAAGCATTCCAAATTGCATATATATAGAAATAGCTTAGCAGCTCAGATTCTTTTATTTTATTTGTATAATTAAACTTTCTTGCTGTTTTTATAATTATATTTATAATTTTTTTATGCTCATTTATTGTATTCATCTATTTTATATGTGGATTTTTCTGTTTGGCATCTGTTGTGGACAGTAAAGGATGTCTCTTTACCGTGATAATGACACCGTGATTTATGACAATAAAACTTGTAATTTGAAAAAAAAAAAGAGACACACAGCAATCAAAATAAAAAAAGAATGAAAATAAAGTAAGAATTTACTTCAACAACTGGTAAAACACAATGTTTGTAAAAGCTCTTAAACACAACTAAGCTGAGATGATAGAAACAAACAGTCTGTTACACACACAGTCAGATAACAAGCCACACATTCAGGAGCTGTAATATGTTTAATAGATCTGTTAAAACAAGTTATGTAAAAGCAACTATTGACTATAAGGCTATTTTGAATGGTCTGACTCACAGCAGTTATAAAGGTGCAGACTTATTCCTCTAAATCATAAGTACAGCTGAATAATTAAAACAATAACAATATCCCTAATACTCAGTGAAACATGCTATTTACTTCAGGTCTCTATTCCTAATGCTTAATGAAGTAGGAGTGGATCATGGTGAATTGTGCTATAGTTAGCTCTGAATACTGCTTTGAAGTGCTTGAACACTCAAGATAACAAGTGTGGGCTCTAGGAGAGAGCAAGGAGGCTGTCCTTTCTTCTGCAACATTAACAATGCTACCTTTCAGTGTCAGTCACTTTCTCTATAGATGGCTCAGCTGAGCACAAATCTTTTGTTTGGTCAAAGAAAGACTAATATCTGCCTCTGATGGACACCTGGAAGATCTTATTTTTGTTCTAAGAAGCAAGCACCAAGAATGGGTCACTAAAGAGGCCGGCACCATGTTATCACAGTTTTATAGAAGGACAGATTGAAACAACCAAATCTATTTGTGAACTAATTTACAATTTAGTTAACACACATATGCAATAACTACAGGTTCATTACTACAGGTGAAACAATTTTTACAGTCTTATCAGTCATCAAAGATTAATTTGCAGTTTTAGCTTAGTTCATAGATAATCCTAATATATATGTGTATATATATATATA